CTTATTTTCTGGCTTATTCCATGTTTAATCTTTACATAAGATAACTGGGTCACCTGACTATTGTATCTCCTTTCAAAATATCTAAAAGAATAAATAATGCTGGAATAAAAATGAGATCCTATAGACATTATTCAATCGGCAAGTGTCCTTAATTACATTTAATCGATTCCCAACTGCGAAAATATGGAATTTGCACAAAAAAAGGAAGGAATCGAGATAATAGTAAAAATTTATTTAACGTTATCGGCTGTCGAATATAAAATATTCATCGGTTAGATGTAGCGTCGGTCGTTAGTAAAACTAACGGGCAGCTAACGACGACAGTATCTTTCACAGGAGATCGAAACCAGCAACGAGTGCAAACTGTCCCTTTGTAGAGATAAATTGCTTCCACGAAACGTATTTTAAAGTTCATTGATTCAGTTCCCAGTTAATGTGAATGCGAAGTATTTTCATTTTAAAATTAGATGACAACGGGAATGTATATATGTAGATTCTTATTTCTATCCTCGGGTTCTTCAACTTGAAAAACAATTCTCCACGAACGAGTGCACTCTCGCCGGAAGCGAATGCCCCGAAGCAGAATGCTCACTCGTTTAGGAAGACAACACCCAAGAGAATTTTCTGGTTCATTGATATTCAAGTATTCGAATTACAAGAGATCCTCAAGGCGCTTAGCAGTCCATTAAGTCGCGCAAAATCGATCAACGGCGCCGGTGGGGGAAACGTGGAGACGACGGCGCGAATGTAATATTTATTCAGTTATTCTAGGAATGTAGAAGCTCGCTTATGTGACTCCTCACGGAATTCGTTACTGTAACGCGTAGAGCTTTCGAGCAAGAAAGAATTCCAGATTTCAACTAAAGTACATTTCCCTGCTTCCAGATAAATTTCGTTTGCCTTAGAGATTTAATTTAAGATTCTTTTCAGATCGTATAAAAGTCAACTGATAACGCGTTTCGAAAATGAATAAAAATGGTTGTTAAGGAAACAAGTTGAAAGTTTTATTGCCACGCCGTTTGTCAATGTCTTCTCTCTAAAGTCTTCCTATCTATCTATCGAACAGAAAAGAGCAACAACCTAATTCTATCAACTCTGTTTTAGTGCCATTATTCTTTTGATAATTATCGAAGATGCAACAGCTGGCACGATTTATTTGCACAGATGGACATGTAAAATGGTCGTTGTTCCAGTCGCGGTGGTGGTGACATTTTTCATCTGCTGGGCGCCGTTCCACGCCCAAAGGCTGATGGCTATCTACGTAAAGAACAGCAGAGATAAGACGATACAAATAGTCTATACGATCCTCATGTACGTGTCGGGGGTGTTTTATTTCCTGTCCACGACGGTGAACCCGTTGCTCTACAACATCATGTCCAACAAATTTCGAGAGGCTTTCAAGGTGAGCTACCACTTGTGAATTTCGTGCTCGAGAACTTCCCTGTCATCGTTCCTTCCTACGATTATTAATCACCGTCCACGAGCAACGATTCATGAGCTTCCTCATATTATAACTCTCATCCCTTCGAGTTAATTAAAAGAGCAAATACTTTGAGCTCGACGAAACGCTTTAAGCGAATTGAAGTCCACTTTCAGTCGATGCTGTCGAATCACTGCGGCCGAAAATCTGTCCCGCGGCAGCCGACGTACAGCAGCCTGTCCCGTTGCCCGCGCTCTACGTTTAGGCAGACGGACGATCGTCAGAATTCGCCGTCGATCTCCGTCAGCGACGACAACCAAAAGCTTTGCCTTACGCGAACTACGAACGTGTCCGAGCTGAACGGCTGCATGGAACGGAACGGTCACGAACGGTTATCCGGCTCGAGGGTCAACAGGGGCAGTCGCGAGTACGGCAGAAGCGCGTCGAGGGGATCGAACTCCAGTCAATTAACCACGATGACGACGATTAGCAGGGGTTTCAACGAGGGTAACAACAACGTCGCCGTCGGTCACGTTAACGAGTGTCTGTTGAAGATCCGAAGGCCACCGAGAGCTGTTACTCTTGGTAAGAGAATAAACTGTATTGTGTATTTATTAATTCGTTCCCTTCCTACAATCTTATTCNATATTTACCTTATACTATTCTAATCTACCTTAATTCAACCCTTTACGCTCGCGTTCTACGTATACATACAGTTTTACTTGTGACCCTTAATGCCTCCATCGATTTCTCTCCCACTTACCTTGTTCTCTTATTCTGCCTTTGTCCCCGTTTCATATATCACCTTGTCCCCTATCAACCTCTACCCTTTATTTTTATCCTTTTCTACCTAAATTCTCTCTCTCTCTCTCTCTCTCTCTCTCTCTCTCTCTTTCTCTCACTCGCTGCCTCTGCATACATTTTGGACTTCCTTTTCCGGTTTTATGCTCTATATTCTACCCTATCTCTTGACATGTCTTCTAACTCATGTGTTTCTCTCTGATATTTCTCCCCACCCCTAATTCTTATCCCCCATCTTCTCCATTCAATATCTCCATCACTCTCTTATCAACTCCTCTCGTTTATTTCTCTTCCACCATACGTTCCTCCAGCACATGACTCTAATCTCCCACACCCCATCCACACCTTCTACATTAAACTTTTTTCTTCGTCTTCCCAGAACCTTCGTGCACTCATTTCATTTTGACCATTCAGCCAAAAACGCGCTATTGTCGACCATTCTTTTTCTTTCGCTCCCTTTCTCAAATAATCAAGTACCTCTTCCCACTTTATTAATTTAAACCAGTAAATTGATTATATTTTGCATCTATTATTTTTTTCCAATTCGCCTTCCCATGAGTTCTCCTTTCCTCTCTTTCTACCCTCCACCAAAATTCTTTCCTATACTTCAGAGTCAGTTTTAATTATTGGTTCGATATTACAATGGAATTTGAACTATCTTTCCGTCACAGGGTTACTGGCTGAAAGACTGAGACAGGGAACCAAAGGGCTGTTCTCCAGCCAGCAGAAGAACGCGGAAACGAAACCGGAGGTACTGCCGCCTTTTCAAAGCCATCCGAGCATCGAGAGCGCCAACACGATCAGCAACTCAAGTTTGCAGGACTACGACGAGACGGAATTCACCGGCACTGAACTGGCTCGATACATGGGCGAACTGAACAACGAACTGATCACTTAACATTCGGTTTATCAAGAACGTAACCGTTACTCCGTTTTGGTGCGAATACTCTATCTCGTTCAATACCGATTGTTAGAGAATCTCGAGAGGCTTAGAATTTGAATTAGTAAACGATCCAGAATGTTTGTATATTTATAAACAGAACGAACGACTCTAAAATTAGAGAAGTGAAACTGTTACCATAACGTAAATGTTTAAAACTGGAAACTAAAGAACGTATTGTAAATAATATCATTCGCAGCTCCTC